TTCAGGAATATGAAAATAGGTAATCTTGCTTATTATATATAAGTAATCGTCATTATAACAGTAACTATACAAAAAGCTGTGGTATCTACAATCAATATCTCAGTATAGTTTAGTTGTTTCTATTTTTATTTTATTTTTTGAGCCCTCCTTGCACTAATTTTTAATGCATTATGCCTAAAAAATTATAGATATGTTATTATCAAATTTTGTTGATATGTTATTATATCTGTGTACTTCAAATTGTTTTGTTTGTTATACTGCTTCTCACCTTATTAACTACACAACACAAATTTTTCCTGATTAACTTTTGCATGAATCAATTTAGACTTCGTTTGGGACTACTTTTTTAATGCTTCTTAATGCAATTTTTTAATACAAAAAATTTATTTTTTTACTAAAAAGTTGCTTTAAGAAGTGGTAAGAAAGCTATTCCAAATGAAACCTTAATTTCTTTCATGAAAGTCCTCTTGAACACGGTTAACTATAAAATTTCCCAATAACACAATAAAAAATAAAAATGCTGTTTTTTCTCTCCAAAGCCCCAAAAAAGTCTCAAAGTTGTGGCAATATGAGCGATAGATAGGGAGAGGGAAAAAGCTTAAAAACCCTGTATAGCTGTATATCACACCCAATCTCTTTACACTAACTCAGCTTGCCAACACATCAATATTTTTTTGGACTATGATTAGCGTAGTGTAGCATTACTAATAAAAAAAATGTAACTATAAAACAAATCTCAAAAGGAAAAACAAGTCGGATTACAACAACAACAACATCAAGCCTTTATCCCACTACGTGGGGTCGGCTACATGAATCCTTTTTCTCCATTGTGTCCTATTAAAAGCCAAATTCTCGTTTAAATCTAATAAAGAAAGGTCATTCCTAATATTTTCTAACCAAGTCTTTTTAGGTATACCCCTACCTTTCTTAACATAAGTCAAATCTAATATAAATTGGTAAGGATTTTCAGCCACCACAAGGATGGCCACTTCCACAAGGAATTTCAAAAAGTCTCAAAGTTGTGGCAATATGAGAGATAGATAGGGAGAGGGAAAAAGCTTAAAAATCCTGTATATCTGTATATCACACCCAATCTCTTTACACTAACTCAGCTTGCCAACACATCAAGATTTTTTTGGACTACGATTAGCGTAGTGTAGCATTACTAATAAAAAAAATGTAACTATAAAACAAATCTCAAAAGGAAAAACAAGTCGGATTAGCATAAATAAAATTTTAAATGAATGAATTCTTTTTTTATTCTTGTCAAGCATATATTTTATTTGAAGTGGTGATGTTTGCTCTGTGTTTTTTATCATATGTAGATCCTCCTTATTTCCTCTATATTTTTCCATCAAACCTCTAAAAACAAGTCGGATTAACATAAATAAAATTTTAAATGAATGAATTCTTTTTTTATTCTTGTCAAGCATATATTTTATTTGAAGTGGTGATGTTTGCTCTGTGTTTTTTCCTTGCCATTTCATTATTACATTTTCATTATTTTTACTGAAAGAAATTGAATAAGTTTTGAAATTCCACCCCTTTATGGTATGGAAGAAAAATCATAGTTCAATAGCTTACTATCACCAAAGATAAAGATAAGATCCTTACATAAAAGTGAATCGTAGATACAAAAAGAAAAAAAAAAAACAAAATGAATTAATTGGTTCCATTTGCTTTAATTATAAGTAGGTTCCATCATAAAAATGGGTTTTTTCAGGATAAGCAAAAATTTTCACATAACAATATGTTTGACAAGCCTCGCTATGTTTAGATATGAAAATAAATTTTTTTATCTAACCCATACAAGCTTCTACCTATCATCCTATTATACCTAACTCCTATAAACTTATTACCTATCATCATCTACCTGACATCTCTATTATGATACCTATCATCATCTACATAATCAATTCAAGCTTGTGGCCTACATCTCTAAGTACTATATAAGAAAATGGCTCCAATGTGTTGAAGCATCCCACAAACAAAAGCAAATAGAAAGAAGAAGGGGAGAGAGGGGAGAGAGGGGAGAGGGGAGAGAGGGGAAAGGGGAGAGAGACTAAAGCTTTCAGCCATAGTAGGAAGAAGCTCTTGAAGAATAGAGAGAGTAAGAAGCTCTCATATCCGAGAAAGAAAAATAGTAATGATAGGAAAAACAACTTCTTTACCATGTTCATCCCCTGCTTTAGCAACAAGTGATTATGTTCACTCTCAACCATTGGCATAGAAAAAGTAGTATCTCTATCATTATCATTTTATGGATGAAAATAAATATTTGATATACTCTTTGTTTAAAGCTTAGTAAAATATTTGATTTCTATGCAACCGTGAACATGTGAATGCTATCTGAACATATAACTTGTGTGACTTGAATTGTGATCTTTAATGTGTTTATTCTTTATTTTCATTTGATTTTATTAGAGCTTATTGCTTAAGCTACATAGAATTTGAGCAAAAAGATTAAGATCGACAAATTTGGTGGTCAAAGTCTTAACTATTGGAAGATGCAAATATAAGATTATCTTTATCAAATAAAGCTTAATCAACCATTGAAGGAATAAAAAACTTTCACTATTGATCAAGATCTTTATAAAAAAAAGCTTCATTAACCCTTAAGGAGATAAAAGACTTCTGCTATTGATCAAAATGAGTGGGAGTTGATGGGCATGCAAAGTCTAGGGGCTACTCATCTATCCCTAACCAAGAATGTTTCTTTTAACATTCTTAATTAAAGGACCGCAAGATGCATGATTAAGACAGTATCAAACGTGTATGAGAAGCCCTTTGTTTTCACTAAGATACATCTTATGCACATTTTTTTAATCTTAGGATGTCTAAAAAAGGCTCCATTATTAAGTACCTCAACGAGTTAGACTTGATCACAAGTCAGTTGAGCTCAATATATCGCAAGTCTACTTTTATTGCTCCGCAAAAGTTAGAATGGTGTAGTAATAGCCATTTGCCGCTCTTATGGATCAAACAAATTGAAGTTTAATGATATCAGAAATCTTATTCATAGTGAAGATATCGGATGGAGCGAGATTGGTGAAATCCCTTTTGCTTTGAATATTAATAACAGAAGTAGATTGTGAAATAAAAGTAATCATCAAGTAGAAGTATATACCAATCACGAAAAAAGAGTAAATATACAAATCACAATAGAAGCAAATCTTGAGGTTACCCACCTGAATGTTGGTACTATGAAAAGTCAGGACCTATGATGCACCGACACTCCTCTTAAAGAGGGAATGCAGTGTCTGACACGGCAAGCACGTGTCTGATTAAAATAATATTTAAATTTAAGTGGGCACGCGTATCCTAATTTTTTCTGATAAAATTATTTTAAATTATAAAATTTTTATATTTACTAAATCAAATAAAACATCACATTCGCTCGTATATGCATCAATACGAGCCTGCCATATGCCTTAGGGCTTCCGCCCCTTGCTCCATCTTTATGTGCATGCCTTATTGGTGCATCTTGTAATCTTTATTGTGCATGCCTAAAGTACCTAAATCTTTTTTCACTATTTTATATTTAACATGTAATACTCTCACAATTCTCCCTACATAGTTATTTATCAACTTATCATTTGTAGTCTTTTGACACATGTGTCATAGCATTCCTATCTTTGCCACACTTAAATAGGTTATCATTGATATTTTTATCACATGTTCATCCCCATAAAACATAGTCATCTAAATATGGTTGTACTAGATATTTTATACTAAATATTTTATATTATAAGCTAGAGAAATTATCATGACATTCATTTATTATTGTTTGTCATTTCTAATATAATATTATATTAATTTCTATACACTATATAAAAAAATTGTAATGTCATGTTCACACCGTATTTGTGTCGTACATTTAAAAAAAAAAAAAAAAAGTTTCCCGTGTTTATGTCGTGTTGTGTCCGTGTCCGTGCATCATGGGCCACAGATTATGAAATATTGCCACAAAAGAAAGGACTAGGGAAAAAACACAAAAGAAACTGTAAATGTTGTTGTGAAGAAAACACAAGTTGCATTAATCCTCAGTGTTGATGGTACAATAAAATTATGGATAATCAACTGAAGTGCATCATTTTATTCTTCTTCCCATAAAGAAACTTCGGATTATGATAATTACTCTGCAGTCAAATTTAGCAAATTATTTTTCGCTAAATGAGCCCTTGGATTTTGCAGGCATTAGTAATTTGATCCTTCAAACTATAAATAGACATATTTCTCCTTGCTTATGAGTTTTTTCTCAAAAATTCTTCTTAATGCCTCATCTTCATTCTCGCTTTTACTTCATGTTGCTCTCCCTCTCTGTCTCTTGTTGGTCACTTACTCTCACAAGTATTCTTAATTTTTAACTACTCTCTCATCACTTCATTAATTATATCTTTTATTCTTTTATAGGCTTTCAATTAATATTAAAATATTTTTATTAAATGTATCATAAATTTGTTGAAATTTATTACTTGATGTGATTTAATTGTGAATAATTAAATCACTATTATATAACTTAATAGATATATAAATGACTGACAAATGATGAACTATACAGTCACTAAAAGTGCTGCTTCACTTGCGCTTAACGCACTAAACCAAGAAAGAACCCTCACACATCACATTGTGATTAGCATTTTGAAAAAAAAATGCATGTAATCTACAAATTTAATTAAAGTCTAGCTAAACCAAACATAGCAAATTGCTGACAAGTTCCGTGCAACAATTTTGATTCTGAAATCTAAATTATTTCCCAATAAGTTTTTAAAATGGCATTCGCATAAATCTCAAGAAATATTAATTCTTAACTAAACAAATTTGCAAGATTTGACCAGCACCTACTTTCTTCCCGTTAAAAGTTTCTTAACCTAATAAATATCAGCCCTTGATTCATATTTAATTAAAAAAACAAAAATCCTGCTTCCGAAGGCAGAACCCACAAAGGCAGAAGTTAACATTAAACGAAGAACGAAGAAACCCAAATGAGAGTCTTTTACCTCGCCGGTATGGCCGAAGCAGCTGTGGAGATAGTTTTCGTCCATCCAATAATGAAGATCTCCGACCCATATCGACTTGTTCTCTTCCCCAGACTGAGGCCCCAATCCGCTTACAGGCACGAATGGCGGGGCGAACTGGCGGTATACCGGCGGTGGATGGGGTGGTGGCGGAGGGTACGGCAGATAGCGGGACCCATACTGCACCGGTGGCGGCGGCACAGCTCCCATCATCTGATGCTGCATCGCCATCGCCGCCGCCGCAGCCTCTGGATACTGCATCCCCACCCATTGCTGCGCCGGCAGCGGCTGGTGGTGGTGTTGTTCTCCGCCAGCAGCCGGCGGTTGCATCATCTTCGGCAAACTCGGAGATAAGACCAGATATTGAGAGAGAGAGAGAGAGAGAGAGGCGTATGGGCTTCGAGACAATGTGGAGGGGTCACGCTACGGCGAAAGAGCGAGGATTCCTGTCCGGGAGAAAGAGCCCGTTCATTTGAGATCGACAAATACAGAGCCGGCTTCGAAGCGATGTTTTATCACAGCCGTTGGATCGGAAGGAATGTGCGGTGAAATCCACGAGATTGGGAGAGCCAATGCTTTGGCCGCGGTTGACCAAATCCACGTTAATGTAGGTTATTGCTTGCCCTTAGCCGGTTAATCCGTCTAGCTCTCCATTGGTAAACATAAGGGAGATCCGCCCATGACTTGCCCATCTAATTAAATTAAAATAAAGGTTAATTATATTTAACTTTGATATATTATTCTTATATTCTCTTATATTTTCAGAATTTTTTTAAAATATATATATAATTAAAATAACTTGATAATTTTTTGTTAAAAATAACCTTAAATTATTAATCTCAAAGTAAAGTTGCTGTAAGGTAAGGAACTTATTAGGCTTCGTTTCGAACAACTTTCTTACTATTTTAAAGCAATTTTTTATATAAAAATTTCTAATTTTAAATAAAAATTACTTTAAAAAATATTAAAAAATATAAAACCTTAGCTATTCTAGTCGTAAAAAAATTTCTATTACGAGAAGACTAATTAATAATTATCTAGATTGTTATGCAATATTTGTGAATTTCGATAGTAAGAATGTCTTCATTAAGTGCATTATTAAAGAGAATGCAGAGAAGTTAGATTAATAATTTTTATTGATAGCTTATTAGCCAATCAAGAAAAGAACATCATTTTTTATTAAAAATTTAAAAACATTATAGAATTTAGGTTCATATTTTATAGTTGATGGATTGTTACTCAATTATGGGAAAAATGGTGCTATTTTTATAGAGAACTTAATAATCTTGAAAGATGAAGTTTTTTTAGTATCTATGGGGAATACTTTCATGAGCAATTATATTGAAAGGAATTAATGAGAACAAAGTACACATTTGGGGCTGTTTATTTTTTTTTTACTATTTTTTAAAATATTTTTTAGTATAAAAAATTTATTTGATATACTAAAAAGCTTTTTTAAGAAGCAGTAAGAAAGCCATCCCAACTTTCTTACTATTTCTTAAAATAGCTTTTTAATAAAAAAAAAATTAATTTTTTTTATTAAGAAACTGCTTTAAGAAATAGTAAAAAAACCGTCCCAAACAAAGTCTAAATGAAGAATTGTTGAAGAAGATTGGTGCTGCAACCTGCAAGAGGTATAACGAAGAAGAAGAACAGTAGTAAAGCAAACAATATTTTCATTTTCTATATTCCTCTGTTTGCTACAGTGCTCATTTATAGATAATGAGCTTGCCACGTGTAGGGCAGATGTGAAGTAAGTTTGTTATGAACCAAGGGTGATTAAGCCTCTGAGATGTTGCTGTCGGTCAGTGGAAGTGTGCTCTAATACTTCCATGCAAATTGATGGTTCAGTTTGAACGGTCAATTTGAATCTGAGGTGTTGAAATCTGGATGTAGACAGAGATTTGGTGAAAATATCTGCAATCTGATCAACTGTACTGATGGGTGTAAGAGCTATGTGTTTGGCGTGGAGATGATCGCGAATGAAGTGGTGATCGATCTCAATGTGCTTGGTTCTAGCATGTAGAACTGGATTGTTGGCAATGGCGATAGCCGACATGTTGTCACAATAAAGAATAGTGGGCTGATCGATGGAAATGTTGAAGTCATGCAAAAGTTTCCGGAGCCACAGAATATCTGCGGTGGCAGCTGCGATGGCACGGTACTCGGCTTCCGTTGAGGATCTAGCAACTGTGTGTTGCTTCTTTACACTCCATGATATAAGTGTAGATCCAAGGAACGAACAATAGCCGGAGGTTGATCTTCGTGTGATCGGATCACTAGCCCAGTCCGCATCGGACATGGACATGAGTTGAAGAGGTCCCTTGCTGATAGGAAGGCCAAAGTGAGTGGTACCTTGGATATATCTTAACAGCCTTTTGAGAAGGTGATAATGTACCGGTTGTGGATCATGCATGTGTTGGCAAAGGACGTTAACCGAGTAGGAGATGTCCGGTCTAGTTATGGTGAGGTATTGAAGAGATCCGGTGAATTGTTTGTAGCTTAGAGGATTGTGGAGAATGGGATCTGAAAAGGGTGTTGTAGGTAGTTTAGTACAGTTGGGATTAGATAGAGGTTTGCATGCGGTGAGGCCGGCCTGATGAAGAATGGATTTCGCATAAGTGCTTTGAGACAGAAACAGAGAGCTGTCTGTGGTGTGGATTTGAATGCCCAGGAAATGGCTGGCTGTACCGAGATATTTTATGGTGAATTGTTTGCTGAGTTGGTTGATGAGAGCTGAGACTGTTTGGGAGTGATTTCCGGAGAGAAGTATGTCGTCGACATAGATTAAGAGATAGATTTGAATGTTGGATTGAGAGAAGACGAATAGAGAGTGATCAGATTGACTTTGTTTGAATCCATAGGATATGATGTATGAGGAGAATTTGTGGAACCATTGTCTTGGAGCTTGTTTGAGGCCATATATGGCTTTTTTTAGTAGACAAACATGGGATGGATTGATGTTGTCCTCAAACCCCTTGGGTTGAGTCATATAGACTGTTTCATGAAGATCACCGTGGAGAAAAGCATTAGCCACATCCATTTGATGAATTGGCCAAGAATGGTTGAGAGCAATGAGGAGAAAAACTCTGATAGTCGGCATTTTGGCTACTGGACAAAAGGTATCATGGTAATCTAGCCCATGCTCTTGTCGATGGCCTTGAGCCACAAGGCGGGCTTTGTATCGAGCTATGGTTCCATTGGAGTGGTATTTTGTACGATATGTCCAGCGAGACCCGAGAACATTGGCATTAGGAGGGGGAGGAACTAATAGCCATGTTCCTTGTTGTTGCAGGGCTAGAAATTCTAAAGCCATTGCTTCCCTCCATTGAGGAATTTTGACAGCTTCGGAATAAGAGGTTGGATCAGGAAGAGGTTGGGAGATTGGTTGTAGTTTGTGGAGAAGGTTGAGTAGAGTTCTGGGTTTGAGAGTTCCTGTCTTTAGACGAGTAATCATGGGGTGGGATGATGGTATCGGAGGTGGTGAAGAGGTGGTATGTGGTGGAGTGGTGGGCTGAGATGTGAGGTTGGTTTGTTCGGTGGGGCTGGTTGGAGTTGTAGGAGAGTTGGATGGCTGATGAGTAACATGGCTGGTTGATAGTGTGGACGTGGGAAGAAGAAGGTAGGGATTTGTTGAAGATGCAGGAACAGAGGGTGACGTTGAAGGATGAGTTGGTGAGAGGGAGAAAGGAAATAGATCTTCCTCAAAAGTAACATGCCTGGAGAATAGAATTTTGTTTGTGGATACATTGAGGCACTTATAGCCTTTGTAGGACTCGTGATAGCCCAGAAATAAGCATTGTGAGGCTTTGGGCTCTAGTTTGTGTCTTTGAGAAGGTGGAGTCCAGGGATAACAAGCACACCCAAAGGTTTTGAGATGAGAGTATGTTGGTTTTGTTTGATGGAGTAGCTCAAATGGAGTTTTGTTTTGGATTGTAACAGAGGGCATTCTGTTGATAAGATGGACGGCCGTGAGAGCTGCATCCGGCCAGAATTGATAGGGTAGGTGTGCTGTCTGTAGTAAGGTGCGAGTCGTTTCGATGATATGCCGATTTTTACGTTCAGCCATGCCATTTTGCTCCGGAGTGTATGGGCAGGAGATTCTGTGATGTATGCCGTTATTTTGAAGGAAGGATTTGAGTTCATTGTTGGTAAATTCCGAGCCTCCATCGGTTTGTATGCATTTGATTTTGTGTGAGAGCTGATTTTCAATGAATATTTTGAAGTGAATTATAATTTTAGGAACTTCAGATTTAGCACGAAGCATGAAGAGCCATGTAAAGCGACTGAAATCATCAATGATAACAAGATAATATTTATATCCTTGATGAGATATTGTGGGGGTTGGACCCCATACATCAAAATGAAGTAGAGCTAATGGAGTAACATTGGAGCGGGAAGATACTGGAAAAACTAGTTTATGGCTTTTAGCAGCCTTACAGGTAGAGCAAGTAAAAACAGAAGTAGATATAGCTAAGTCTCTGTTGGCTTGAGATATGGAGGCGAGAACTTGAGGGTGAGGATGACCGAGTCTTGTGTGCCATCTGTAAGAGGATGATGATGTAGCCGACAGTGCAGAGGAAGTCGAAGCGGGAGGAGGAATTCTAATTGTGTACAGGCCATTGCGACATGGACCCTGAAGAAGTGTTGCTTGCGTCTGGAGATCCTTGATGCAGAACCCAGATGGAGAGAAAACAACAGAGACGTTATTGTCATGAGTGAGGTGAGATACGGAAAGCAAGTTATGGGAGATGGTGGGAACATGGTGGATCTGAGAGAGAGTTAACTTACGGGCAGGAGTAGGGAGTAGACCGGTACCAGTGTGAGTGATGGGAAGGCTTTGTCCATTGCCAACAGTAATGCTATCCATACCTTGGTATGAGGTGGGCTGTGAGATGGTATCCAATGAGTTGGTAAGAAGGGAGGTGGCGCCTGAATCAATGTACCAGTCCTGTGAGGGCGTCCCAGAATCGGCTACCAGGGCTTTGGTCGTAGTTGGCGGAGGACTGGGAGTGTAGTTTACGTTCAGGAGATGCCAACATTGGGAAGTAGTGTGACCTCTTTTAGCACAGATTTGGCAGGTGACAGCAGCTGCTGGGTTGGATCGATTACCGGTGTTGTTGTATGTGTATGATCTGCCTCTGCTGCGACGTCCCCTACCGCGAAATGAGTACATTGCCATGCCTGGGTCAGCTGGTTGATGTTCCTTGTTGGATTCTTGAGCCAGATTGATTTCTTCTGTGAGTAAGTAGGAGTAGAGTTCATCCAAGGTAATAGAACTTCTCTTGGTTCTGATAGAAGTTTTGAAGGCTTGATAAGTTTGAGGCAGACCATTGAGTATATACAGTATGATGTCCTCTGAATCTACATTGGACCCGGCGGCTGCTATGTTGTCCACGAGTGTCTTTATAGCTGTGAGGTACTGCGTCATGGAGAGATTGCGCATGGACACATTGTGTAATTCGTTTTTC